GAATGCATTAGTATTTGCTTTGGTTATCTCCATCTCAAATCTCCCATAATTTGACTTTTTACATGGAAATTAATTTATGTAATTACATACATATTTAAACGGTTACCTTTCTTCTTTGAATAATATTTGATTTCTGAGCCCGAAAATTTTCCATTAAAGGATGTGAAAGTAATAAATTAAAATAAAAGCTCATTGACTTTGACGCTTTTGCATCATACAGCATGATAAGAACCATGGGCGACACACCGAGAGAGTACTTTAATTTCAGTGACCTACTCAGTACAAAGTAAAACCTGTTTTTCAGAGTTTGTGTTTGATGTCAAGACTTAAACTATTGGTGATACTACTACTGGTTCCTAGATATGCGAAATCATTTATGTCATTAGAATTGTGACTGTCGAGACACCAATGGGCTGTTGTTAAGGCCAATTATATCAATATCGGCGTATTGTCAACTCTGTTTCTTGCTGTCTTGGCACCTTTACAATCGAGAAATTGGTGATATGTGTCGATATTTTACTCACTAATCTTATCGAAAATTTGGCGTATGATGAAAATCTGGAGATTTATAGAAGTGCAAATATTGATTTGATAAGATCCAATCAGGTCGATAATACCTTATTTGAAATGTTGAGGAGACCAGATAAGTGGCACATATTGCGAGGTACGCCTGTTTATGGATTGGGCACAGCACATTTACGCTCCAATTGTCTGGCGAGTACTCATTGACCAACTATTCACAGCCACATTTGAATAGCCCAGCCGTTAAGCGTGCTCTCCGATTTATTCAAGGCAACTCCAAATTGCCATTTTACTCTTAATTGAGAAAAATTTAAAAAAAAGTGAGTACCTGCAGTAAGTCAAGACTCTATACAAGAGCCGAAATGGCGAAAATAAACCAATTATTTTTGCTCCTGTTAGATACATAATTCATGCAGTCGGGATGAATTATGTATCTAACTAAGCAAAAGTACAAAATTAGAATTTTTTACGAGATAAGTTTACCATCAAATTGTTAGATCCCATAGAGTTATTTCAGCCGCTAATTAGCTCTAAAGCTAAAAAAAAAGTTATTTTAATATTAAATTAGAGCGAGTTTTTTTTATTGTTAAGGCTTTCATGAACATGAAATGACATATTAACAAAGTATGCGAGTACCATAAGAACAACAAAGAATATTTACCGATTGGATCGGAACTTCGGGTTGTGTTGATTTAGTCTTTCCGTTTAGCTGTCTTTAATATTCGCAGATGTATTTTTACTATATTGATCATTTGTCAGAAGATCGGCAGCTTATATCTTTTAGTCTACAAATAATCGATCAGTTTGATATGAGGTTTCGAGTCATAGATTCGTCAATAAAGGAACTAAGAGTGTGAAGCTTTGCATTCCATATAAGTAAAGTCAAATAGATATTGGCACCAAAAATATCTTCATTATCGGAAGAATATATCGAATAGCACCCCTATAAGACTTCGGCGTTCCTGAGAATAATTTTTTTTTTTTATGTAACTTTTCCATACTAGCAAAATCTCATTTCTTCTTAATTTTTGTTTCTTCTCAGAGATTAATGACATTTCGTTTAAGACTCTTAGCTCTTCCTCAGTTATCTGACACACGTCCAGCATGTCTCCTCAAGAGTCAGCGACATCTTTTTGGCAAATTTGTATTTACATAATTTCTTCCTGGGCTCTCATTTTCCTTTGCAGCGCCTTGGCATACGAAAAAGTTGTCATAGCAACAATGTAGTAATAAGCAATCGTGTATTTAAACAAACTGTACTTCGTGCATTAACAGAAAGCATTTCGACAACAGACAACGCTGTTGCAGGTGCCTGAGTGATTAGTGCACAGTATGAAACAAAATGACATTTGGAGCATACTTATACAGCGATGTGCAAAACAAAAGCAACAAATCGCTATAGATAATTAAGAAGGTTTGCAACGTGTGAACGTTTTGAAACAGCTCCTTGCTCAATAACTTTGACAAATTTAATTAAGTGATAATATCAAGTTAATGAGTTTCTTCTACGGTAGAAGATTTCTTTTCAATAATAATAAATTGTGTTGAGTGAAATTGACACTTTGTTTGTTTTTTCTTTCGTACGATGTCTTAAAAGTTCTTAAATTAGAAAAACAAGTGTTAGCGTCTCTTGCTCTTCATTGATTAGTTAAAGCTTAAGGTTAAACTAAAAATAAAAAAAGAAAGTAGAAAATTTTGCATTAACTCGGATTGTTGCATTTGTTTTGTTCGGTGCTGTAGTATCAATCAAGTCAAGATCAGCGCAGCTCCAAACCAAATTCACACTTTCAACTGTTCTACATAGTTTAGACTTTGGTGAACGCTCATGCTTAAAACCACCGTGCGTTGACTTGGTTGTTATCGTCCATTTGACATTGGTTCCACTCAGCACCTGCGGCAGTCTATCACGCTTCATTTGCTTTTAGCCTTAATTTTGAAAGCATAGTTTTGGCAATTCTCTTCATAATGCCTGAAGTGGACACTGATGAAATTGCCAAAAAAAAATCGTCATTAAAGAAATATACAACAGAGTCTCGAAGGCGATAAACTATCAGTTACAGTTTTGGCGTTGTTGGGTCAATGACTGTTGTCTGCTCTCTGCAGGTGATATACTAGTGTACGAACTATAAAACATTTGGTCTTATAAATATGTATTGATTTTACAACATTCCAGTGACAATCATCGGATCGAATTTCAGGCGAATTGAACTTTTTTGTTTTAATATCCCAATATATTTATAAATACACATATTGTATGGATACTGGAATGCCCAGATTAGATCTTTAAAAGTTGATGAAAAGCTTATGATTTCATACTATGTTATAGAGAATACTACATATGTATTTGTTTGTTCAAACACTTGTATGTGTATACAGCATTTGGCGTGTGCATTTTACAGCAGCGAGGTTACTTTTTACGCATTGTCGGAATGTCTCGACTGAGGCAAACGCAGCTAATCTTAGCTACGCTTGCGCACATGACGTTGAACGTGTAATAATAACTTAAATTGCGTAATGGCTTTTCAGCCGCTTATAAGCTGTGCAAAGCGAATTCTACCGAATCGAGTTATAAATAATTTTTTTTTATTGTATTAAATATGCATGTATGGAGAGAAGATTTTTGTAATATATTCTGCAGAAAGTGATTTAATGGAAAACCAAAAGTATTTATAAAGTTGGCGCTTTGCAACCGTGGAAATGAATTTTGGCTGAGCTCCTCCACAAATTTTTCGTATGCGTCGTAATGTTACAAAAAATAATTAACAGCTATCTACGAATATAACGGTGTTATTATTACAGTGGCGATAAGCCAAGCGACATTGACTACGTAAAAAATTAAAAAAAAAACCGTAAGCAAAAAATTTTTCGATTGCTTTGAGTTCTAACGACGATGGCGAAAATAAAATAAAACACCACCAAAAACCCAGGGAGGTGTTGCTGACAGATTACCAATTTAAATTATTTTCAAGGATGAGTGCGAGCAAACAAAAGACCCCTGAAGAAATATTGTGAAGACGTAGCTGATTAGTGCATTTTTATTCCTAATTGACTTTCACATCTCAGAACACATAAGCACTTGTACAGAAGGAAACCTCTCGAGCTCTCCCTATATATATGTGTGTGGGACATAGGTAGAAAAAAATCTGAGACTTGAGTGCTTGTAGAACAAGAAGTAGAATCAAAATTTTTTTTTTTCAATCACTACTGAGCAAACGACACGGAAATTATTATCAAGTCAATATTTATATAATTTGCGCTTTGTAATCGGGGAAACGATTTTCCGCCGAGCTCCTCCTCCAATTTGCGGTTTTGCGTGCTGATGTTTTTCACTAGGCCGCCTCCGATTGATTTTTACGACGGCTGATTGATTTTTATAAGGACCTCTTTTTCATGTCAGAAATGCACTCGGAGAAGTTGAAATTCCCTGCCGAGTGGCGACCGCAATAAGAAAATTTAGCTTAGCTTTTTTTTAAATTAACTTTTCTATAACCTTTTGGATGTTAGCACGACAGCAGGACTGGAACCCGAGCCTTCCGAATGGCAGTACGCAATGCTAACCACTCGGCTATCGCGGCCGCCAAGAGAAAAGTCTATGTGTTTAAAAATTGTGAACGATGTGCAAGAAACACCTGAAAGTTTGTATGATTTATTTTGTTAGTATTTAAAATAATTTAAAACTAGCAACCTAATTATGTTTAGTCACTTTGACTGATTTTGGTGGAAATAAATACTTTTAAATAGCTGCTAAATCTTGAATAGCAATCTCTCTAATTATCTATAATAGAAAAATTCTACTCCGATTTCGTATTGGAACTGAAATTCTACAATTTCACTTTAAATTCTGCAATCTTTCTAATTAAATTCTGCATTTGCAGATGAAAAGAAAAATAAATAAATATTTCACTACCAGCCTTGCGCTGTCTCGATAGATTCCGACCAGAGTGCGACAGGTGTTTTATGATTTGGTTGAAGGCGAGAAAGATGAGGTTAGTGTTTTGCTGGCATATGAGACGCATGTTGTATATGTTGAGAGGAGAACAAAGTCATTAAGCTCATTGGAATCCGCAGTTTTATTTTTATTTTAAGCCCCGCTCTCAAGCCCTTTGCCTAATGGGCAAGCATGAAACGTAAGCTTACAGACAACCCTTTCTGATTTCTATGTTTTATCTAAGCAATAATTATTTTTAATATGTATTAGTACTATTATTATTATTATTATATTATTCATAATATTATTAGTACATTTTACTTTTGTAAAAAGTAGTACTTAACTTTTTCCGCACTCGATCGATAACTCCACAAAGCAATTTTGAAGAGTTTTGAAAGTGGATATTATATTAAATGCAAAACAAAATGAGGTCACGTAGGATATGAAGAAAGAAATATGAAATAAAAGTGTTTACAATATTCTCTCACTAAAAAGAGAAACGCAAAAGATACCTTTTTATTTATTTTGTTATTTATATTTAAAAGCGATTTACATATTACAATTAAATTTTAATGGCATTAAAATTATATGACTCATTTGTAAGTACTTATGGCAACCGTATGTTACGAACAATATATGTACGAGTATGTACGATTGAAACGCATTAAGCTACATCTATCACATAACAAAATACATGTAATACGAACATATATTTATTGCGCACTTTGATAATTTACATGGCATTTTGTCGCCTCTAGACCACTTCCTCTTCAAATTACTCATCCACGGTCGTACATCTAAGAAAGTAAATAAGAATAAATAAAAAGGTGGAAATGAAATTTTGAGTCAACTCACCACACTGAACCGCAAGTAGCACCAATGAAAGTCATCAGTTGAACAATTAGGCGTCCAGCAACAAGCGATCAAATGTTCAGTCGCCATAGCCAGCAAACGGCAACAGCTGTCTGATCACTAGCTCGTGTTAAGCAAACAGCTGATCGTTACATGCATCGAAACAGTTGATCGATGAGCGACCAAAACGTGACCAACGCCATAATAGTGGAACCCAATGAGATAAGCGAGACACAATAGCGACTGCTAGATAGATAACTACGTGCATGAATAAATATGGCATGAATAAATATGGCAGCAGTTTCTGGTAGTAAAAAATAAATAAATTTAATATGAAACATTCAAACCCATTACAGATTTAGTACAGTACATATGTATATGTATGTATATTGAAACAAACAAATGAGTCGCACACCAAGGTCCGAGCCCGCAGCTAAAAATGCTGACTGTGGGCAATCGGAGTAAGTGGAGTACGCCCCATGTGTATATAGAGCCGCAGTTGTTCTCGCTTTCCTGTATGACGCATTGAAATGCCAAAAGCCAGCATAAAAAGCATAGAGTAATAGATACATACGTATATATAATCTATTATATGTGTATATAATGTGAAACACTCATGGTTACATGCATATGATAGCTGCTGACTCATAAGCAGCGGCAAGCTAAAGTACAAAACCAAATTGGCCTGACAACGCGATCACCATTAACGATGTTAGTATGTATGTAAAATAAATAAAAGACCTATTGTAATGTATGTACAAGCGTATTGAAAGCCCTGCCAGAAAGAAGTTGTGCGACTTATCTCTAAAGAGAGTATTCCGAGATTGGTCTCAACAGGGTGCAGTTTTGTGCTTTATTAGTCACAATTAGCCCCAATGATATTATTCAAAATCAATTAGTTGCCCCGATCATTCGGAAAGGATTGAACAAAACATTTATCTTTATATTCGATACGATTTCGAAGTCCTATATGGATTTCCCACTCGATTCCCATTGAACCTCCTGTTGTGTGATTTCGATCATTATATATATATGTTGTGTTTATAAAGATGGTCCGTTAAATGTATTGTAACAATCAAAGCTCCAAAACTAAACAAGCATAGATTTTAACTTTATCGGCTAGAGCCGCCGTAGCAGAGGTATATATGTAATTCTGAGCGGTAGTCTGGGTCTTCCTTATCTTTTCAACTAATCACTTGAGGTATAAGATAAGACGCATGTCGGTTTATCGAGTTTTAGGCACTTCTATTTAAATTTCCCTGGTGCGATCATATGGTACCTTCAAAGCAAATAGAATGTGGTCATTATCATTTTTGCGGCGGCTTTCATTGATAAGCAGTAATGGCACATTGAGGTAGTGTGAGTATATGCGTGCGAAAGCAGCGATTTTCTCATGGTCAGTTTTGTCGCCACCAAGTCTTATCAGCTGATGGGCGCGCGTTCAACACTTTGCAATCTAATAAAATTGCTTAGTCTTATTATTAGTCACTACACAAGAGAATATATTGTTTTCAATTGGCTATTACTTCTTTTGTGTTTTGTAATCAGGAAAAAGCGCTAAAATATCATAAAAAGCCACAGAAAATTCCCATAAATATGAATATTTAACAGATATTTCGCCTCCATTGTGCGGCCACACAATTATCACCGCTAATCGGCGGTAACTGCACACATGTTTATAAAGCAAAGATAAATTATATTTCCTTTTTCACTTTTCCATATTAAGTAAACATGTTTTTTTTATTTATTTTATCTGCATACTGGCATACATACTTATATATATTTGTTTGATCAACAGGCAACGTGCAGACAATGCCAACAGCTAACTGTCGACTAATTAAAATACCCACCCCAAACCAGTAATTTAAGGTGACATATTAATGACGATTGCGTCTATATGTATGTAAATATGTGTGTATATGTCGTACATATGTCTTATAAGACTATCGCAATCACTTGCTAGCAGCTAAACAAAAATCGTAGACACCTGATTACAGCGTGTGTATATGTACTCGTATATGTATACATATAATATAAAAAATATATATATGAACCTTTATATATAATATTTAAATACGGACTAGTTAGTATGTATATAAAACCATCCCTATACATAACTATTACATACATTAATCAAGGTTAACTCGCCGAGACCTATAAATTAGCATAATAAATACATACATATACATACTTATAATATATTATATAAATAGTTCACAAATAAACAAAGAGCCACTCGATTATTGCGTAAATGTCTGAACGGCGCAGTGTCGAGCTTTTGTTGGCTACACGTAAATTTAACAGTATTTCATAAAAATATGTGAGAACTAAGAAAAAATGTAAAGTTATTATATTAAAAAAAGTAAGATTTTTATTCACTATAAACATTTACATATATAAATTGGCATACATACATGCGATTGGAAGTTCGCTTATTTTAATGAATTATCATTTCATCATTATACAGTAATTACAATATTACTACACTGGATCAAAAACCTGTGTGTGCATTTTGAAAATGATATGATATGTCTTGGCCTCAAGTTTCATAAAAATATTTTTTATTTGAAATTTTTCAAATGTGTGTATATACGTGTAGGTAGATGTATGTACGGGCAGACGAGCTTTATGTATACACACATATGTATGTATGTATATGTACATTTCACGATTACTTTATTGCGTTACCATGTGATCAGCACACCGCAAGCCAATCATTCATTAATTTCATCTTTTAATATGTATATATATATATATTGTACATACACGTGCGTAAAGGGTACTTTGCTAAAAATATACAGATCAGCAACAGGTGACGAGGCAGGCAGCGCACACCACAAATAGCGGCAAACATACGGTTCCAGTGAATCACAAATTTTTCTAATTTTATCCTTGAACAAACACTGGATGGATGACTCGTACATACACATGTATGTATGTATGTATGTATATATGTACATAATATGTATGTGTACACCATTCCAAGATTTTGCTCGTATAAATTTTACAAGCTAAGAATGAAATCGAAAGGAAAAATGAAAATGAAAACAGCTCGTTGTATTTGCTCCCACATTTGAAGTATAAAAATATAATGATTGAGCTCGTGCCAAATTTTACAAGTGAGTGGGTGGGCGTGGCCGTGAATTCATGTGTGCACAGAAAAAGTAATATAACATACATATGTATGTATGTATGTAGTTACGTTGGCGACAATTTTCGTGTGCATACACATGTACATACATACGTGTATAGTAAACGAAATTACATGTCAGTGACTTGAGAAGCTATAAAAATAATAAGTGCTTCATAAATTTTGCAGCTTTAAAAAACAATTTCGAGGCGAATATTCAGCTGCATACTGCGAGCCAAGAAGCATCATACAAATCGCATCTATGTATGTATGTATGTTAGAAAATTTTAGTTTATTGTTGTGCTTGTTACCAGCACTTTGATAGAAATAAACACAAACAATATTATTTAGCGACTCATCAGAGTATAAAGAAATGCTCAAGCTTTTTATATATTATTTTGTACGTGTATGTATGTACGCATGTAAAGCAATGTGTGTTTATGTTTCCTTGTTTGTTTCCTATTTGCCTTTTATTATTCCCGGCACTTTTCGCTTTGCTGCTTTAGATAATATTTATTTATTTACTTACTTCGCTTAGATTTCTATTTTTATTTTATTTCTTAATTAGCCGGCTGTTCAAGTCGCTTTGGCTGGGCGTTGGGTTGGTATACGCTGTTTCGATGCTGTGGTGGGTCGAGAGGCTGGTTGTTATTTGATGTGTTTCTCTGTTTGTTACTCAATTATAATCATTTCAACGCTCAAATTTCACTTTCGAATGTTGCAGCTTTCTCTTAAATTTGTACGCTGCTTTCGGAATTCTTCTCTTCAGCTCTTAGCAAGCGAAATTATACATAATAATCTGAAAATATACGTTTAGTATTTATGTTAAGCCATAGCTTTTGCGAAGAATGCGTAATCTCTGCTAATTTCGATATGAAATATCGGATACTGTAGAAAACTACGCGGAAACTTTATATTCTAGATACATTTATTATATATATATATGTATGTATGTATGATATGTATGTCGGTGCATATGTATGTAAATAATTAAAGCAACTCAAATTCTTGGAATAAATATATGTACGTAAGAGATTGGAGATAAATGAATACATATGAATGTTTAATTTGTCCATACATATATACATATGTACGTACATACTGACTTTTCTTCATCTATTCCGAATCGGAGTTAAGGCTACTGGTGTATGCGGCGCGTGCAAAGTGCAAAACTAGAAACTTACATAAACAGAAACTCTTCTCTTCGAGCTCTCGCACCAGATTACGTACAACGAAATCAAAATAATTTTAAATACAAATATACACCTACATATAAAATAGGTATGTATACAGACATACATCCGCATACATACGTTAGACGTCACATACACTGCAAAAACGCTGCTAACGCTTACATCAACGCCACCAACGTCAAACGCTGGTTTCTGTTATAAATTGCTCTAAGTATGATAACAAAGGAGGAAAAGTGAAAACAAAATATACACAATACAATACAAAGAGCGAGAAAAGCAAACATGTTTCAAAACAATGGGAGAACGAGGTACAAGACGTAATATCGAATACAGCTCTTTGAGCTACACAAAAGACGGAATGAAAACAAACCAGACAAAATATCTGTACACTACTAACAGCGCTGCACAAATACCACCTTGAACGTCGAAACAAGCTGCGATGTCGACGCCGACAGCATTTTCCAACCGCACCCGCTCTGAGAGCCGGCGCATTGCTTTGTTGATGGTGGTTGTTTGACTGCTCATCTCACTAAAAGTCTCATTTCGTTCACGCAGTGGCTGCGACTTGTTGGGGCGTGTGAGTATTGATAATGGGGAAGCTAGAACGCGTCGGTCGTGCTCTGGTGTGCAACACTGCTGCCAGCCGTTGGCTTTATATTATATATTGTACATAGTATGTATGTATGTACACACGCATTGTGAGCGTAATGTTAAATGAAATGAGATGAAGCACGTCTATTGGAATAGAGAGAGCCTCTGACGCCAGCAGGCAGCTACCAACCAGCCAACGAAACCAGTGCCAATTCCGATGGATACACACTGTTAACAGCCAACAGCTGTAGTTGACTTTCGATACCAACGAAGAATCATTCTTGAATGCGCGCGTGAATTGTCAACACGTCAAAGCCATAACGTCGCAAACGAAGAAAAAAGATAAAATAAAATAAAACAGCAAACAAAAGGCAAAATTGATATTGAAAGAAGCAATAAAGGGATTTTTCACATTCTGCCACGGTACTCATGTGTGCTTATGTAGATGTATCGTATATATCGTATATGTTTGTGTATTGAGAGCTGTGTTAGTGAGTATCTGAGAGAGTTTTGTGCAGTTGTGATTGTGTTGTGCTTTTTAGCGCTTTCAAATGTATTGCGTTTCATTTTTTTTGCAAAGAACCAAGCGTTGAAACTACATGCTTAGTGCATACTTACATACATTCAAATGTACATACATACGGCTCGTGTGCAGCTCCAACTTGGCCCGCTAACAGACTCGAACAGGCTGCCTAGCTGGCTATAGCTGGTTGTTTTTCGTTGGCGATCAGACACTTGTGGTAGTTGCATTTTAACCGTACGCGAGTAAAGCCAAAAAAGTAAACAAAGCGCACTTATTGAATGGGAATTAAAAATTGTAAACGAATCGAAATTTCAAATTCATAAAACTGTGACCAAGAGCAAATACGAGTTTAACAAAAAATTCAGCTAAGTCGCGCAGAAAAAAAAAACGATTTACGGAAACACTTGGTGCTGCCTCTCGCATAAAGATGGTCAAACACACATTTATATGACGTCGTAAACAAACTGAATAAAAAACATAAAACGCAGTGCCAGTGCTAAGACAACTCAGATTAATGAAATAAAATAAAAACAAAACAAACACTGCATGTTTGTTAAAAATTAAAAATAATTATTGTGAATCAGCAAGTATAAAAGATTGTATATGTGGAAAAAAACGAGTACAATTTGGTGAATATATTACGATACGTATGTATGTATGTCAAAAATGTGATAAATTGTGATCCAAATATTTTATATATAAAAAATTAATTGAAAAAGTAAACAACCTGTTTTAATGAGCGAAATTGATTGATTTCTTAAAACCAAACATTCGAAAAAAAAATCTTAACACAAAATTACAGCTAATTTAATAACTTATAAAAAAACTAGAACTGAGAAAATAAATCCTGAATGGTGGTTGATACAAAAAAAACGTAGTTCAAATTAAAAAAAAAAATAATAATACCATTAAAAATCTAAAATACCCAAACAAATTTTTGTTAAATATAGTTGTAAACGTCTCTTCAAAAGCTGAAAATAATTAAAATGCTGATAGATTTCCTATTCGTTATTTTTTAAATCTAAAAGAATTTCTTCTGTTACCGCGAAAAATTAGCATTTTTTTATTGTTAGTAATTTCTGAAATAAATTTAATCCAAAAATTCTACTAATCTTTGATTATCGCGATACTCAAAAATTTTTATTCCAGAAAAAATAAAAAGACTTTCATTTTAGGAAAATTTACTTAAGGTTTACACTTTTCCAAAACGACAAAAAACGAGCTAAAAAGAAAAGAAAAAATAATCAGAATTTACCGCCTTCTGGTATGAGATATTACTCAAGTAAGAAAGAAAGAAAAAGATCCAATCAATGCCCAAGAATGTGTAGTTAATTTTTTTCCGTTCATGAATCTGTGCCACCAAAAATTTTGAAGTGCGTATATGTAAGTGCAAAATTCTCGTAGTATTTAGTGGCGTCTTTCAGCCTTTTTTGTGGTTACAAGTGCAAATCGAAAATAGAAATTCAAAAACAGCTAGTGAAAATTAAATAGCCCACACGACCGTGTCACCCAAAAAACTGGCTAATGAACGCCCGAGAAAACACGGCGCGACATTCAAGCTTAAAATAAAAACTCGCCACGCTAATATCTGACGCACTCATCTACCAACTAAAAATGATCGCAAACGAATACGCACATACAGAAATACGGTGCAATTTATCGTTGTCATTTACCGGCCGGCATTTTGGCCAATTAAAATGCGCATACAAACATTCAAAAAAGAACCGACACCAAGAATGTAACGGTGATGATACCTACATACATACATATGTACATATGTATGTATAGGCATATGCTGAAAGTGCGCTTAAACTACTTCGTACCTAGTATAGTGAGTGTGTAGTTCGCCTGCCTGCGCGCTAGCCAGCCTCATGGGCAACAGATACTAACATAGTTCTTCGCTTTACTCTAGGCCAACTTGCCGAATGTGTAGTTGAGGCCACACTTACGTATACGTGTATATATGTATGTGCTTTTATGTATATACATACATCTTTCATGTCCGTCCGTGTGCCACTTCTTGGCTGACACGGTTCCGTTTGCCTATTCTGATGGCATTGCCAATAGCCAACAGTAGCAACAACGACCAGTAAGTGCAACAAAAGCAATTTTTCGCAATACGCAAAATGAAAAGAGCAAAAACAATTATCATATATATTTCACGCAGCCGATTTTATATAAAAATTTCATACCCCCATCCAAGAAAGATTAAAATTTGTGCGTCAGTGTTGTTGTGGTGAAATTTAATTGCACGCAATTTTTCAAACCAAAGAAAAACGGAAAACCCAAAGAAACGTATAAAAGGTGTATGTTAAATAAAACCAAAAGGCAGAAAGAAAAAAAAAAAAACAAATGTGAAAATAATTTAAAATTCAACAAGTCATACACGAAGTTTATTGCAATTTGCAACAACGACAACAACAAGAGACAGCCAATGGGCGCTAAATGTGTGCAAATTGTGTCTACCGATATTGTGTTTATTTCATTTATTTATTTATGTGTAATAAACACATTTGGACATAAGTATGTACATACATATATGCATGATGAATAATATATGTATGTACATACATTAGTAAGTTTGCATTGCAGAATTTTGATTTTGATTTTGATTTTGATCAGCAATGAAATTCTTTTACGCCACATTTGCATTGTGACATTGTAACATAATTTTTATTTTAATTTTTTGAGGCCAACTAAATTGCAATAGGAACAACAAAAATACCACTTTGCAGAATTACGAAATTAACAAAAATTAATAAAAATTAACAAAAGTGAAAGGCATCAGTAAGAAACTTAAATAAAAACTTGTGCGCCAAAAAAGAAAAAAGTGTTAAAAAGAGCTTATAGAAGGAATGTGTATGAATATGATCAACTCAAAAATAAAGGTTAAAACAAAAATTTAAAATTTAATAATATAATAACGTGAAAGTGAAATTTGTCTCATTTGACTGAGGCTAAAAAAATACAAAACAACTTTAAATCGTTGAGGTTAAGGGCGTAACCTTTTATAAATTCAACAAAAGCCTGAAATTTTTCGTGTCTAAATTTTAAGAAAACTGCATATGCTGGCATCTTTAAAGGTGAGCTTAATTCAAATATCAGACATATAAATATGCCAAAGTTTCGAATTATTATGACAATATTCTTCGAAATTTGTCATGGACATATGTGTATATTCACACATGATAAAAAAATAGTAAGGTCATTTGTTCCTATCATATGCGAATGCACTGGTATACACCCATTAAACGTTGACCTACAATTCCAAGTTCTACATACATATATATGTATATACATCCATATATAAATGTATATATGTACATGTATGTATACATATGTGTTAGAACTTCTTTGAGCATTTGAATTCAATTTGAGAGTATTTAGGTCAACCAAAACGTATAAAAGCTCTTAGAGTTCACCACAGACTTATCAGCGTTCTTAAAAAATATAGATATAGATTTATCAAAGAAGAGTTTTCTTTCAACTTGCCAACTTGAACAGAAATTTTTTCTGACTATCTGATTTATGCGTTTTTAAGATTATTTTAGTGCTGTTTTGCTCAAAATATTGGTTACATATACTAAAAATTAAGATGAAAAAATTTATCACATATATACATCTTTACATAACTATAATAGATACATAAATAGTACATATGTGCATATAATATCATAGGTAGATACCATGTACATATGTATGTACTCATATATAGGTCAAGGTGCCACAAATCGTTTAATGATAACGAGTAATAATAAAATCTAGCGAATGTGAAAACGAATCTGCCACATATATCATACATACATACTAAATTCATACTTTATTACTTTCAATTGTCGAAAAGTTTTAAAACGATTCCGTAATTCATATTTTCTCTAAAAGAGTGTATGCAAATATGTAATGTGTACTGTCTATGTACATATTTATATCACTCTGAAATTTTTTTCTTTTCTTTTGAAACAATAGATATTTAAACTACGAATTAATTAAATAATAATTATTTTTCTTTCCATACAGGAGCCCATTGAGCTTAAAAAACGTTTAGAAGAGGTGCGTCTGCTCGAATCGCGACGCTCCGCACGTTTGGCTGATCAAGAACGTGACACAGATTTCGCAAGACTAGCCGACATGGGTGGCGATCGCCGTCGTGCAACATCACTAAGCATTGAGGTGCCAAATTCCATTTCACCGCAAAATAAGTAAGTACGAAATTAAATACCCTAAATCAAAATTAAATCTAGAAAATTAGAAATTAATTGAATTTAATTAATATATATATATATATATATATATATATATATATATATATATATATATATATATGTAAGGCGCCTTGTAACCGCTTGAGCGATTTTCGGCCCAGCTTATCCTCTAATTTGTGGTTTTACATTTCTTAATTTCGATTTAGCTTAAATGTTTCCTTATTTATTTTCCTTCAACCATACATAATTACATACATAGATAAGAATATCAAAATAGAAAAAGTCTCCACCATGTAATCCCAATATCTGTTAGAGTTTCTTTCTTTTTAATGGATAAACAAATAAACATGAATAAACATGATTATTTGTTAGCCATGCAAATTGGACTAATGCATCCCATAATCGAGGTCATGCTTAAGCATCGGTCAAATAGGTGTGGTACTAACGGTGTGGTGGTAAAATTTAAGATTACAACTTACGGCGGTAGAGCACTTAAACCAGCCCAGTATACGGCTGCGTTATAACTCGGTACAGCCCGGTACCGCTAACCGCATGGTGTGAGCATACATTTCATAAGTAGGGCTGCAATTTCAGGCCAGGTTCCCCCAACAGACATGTTTTTTTCAAACAAATTTTATTTAATAAGAAAATACTTATAATTCAAAGTTTATGTAGATAAGTCGACGTATAAAAATATTAGTTGAATTTTTTTATTTTTTCTTAAATCGCGGTTTTTGCTTTGCCGTGTATTCCGGCATCGTGTCTGTTGGAGTGCCTTCGTGGATATCTCCAGCCGCGTTACGTACGGGATTATACCGCGCCTGCTTGAGTGATGCTTTAAATGTTGCTCTTGATATGCGTAGGGCCTTGGGATCGAATTCTGAGTAAAGAAAATTAATTTTTTTGGAAAACGTCAAGACGCATCCCATAAATTGCAAGAGAAGCTCGCGCCGCAATCGCTTTAACAGTTGAAAGCGCCAATTATCTAAACTATGTTATGTATTATGTACGAGTATATATGTGTGTGTAGAATATAATAAAAATTCTATTACGTCGCAAAATCTTATCTTATCAAACGCAGACATAAAAAATTGAAAAAATCAAAATTTTCACGAACCATGCTATATTCAAAAGCGAAGCGATAGTGGCAGGCCTTTCATCGTCCACGCGCCAAAATGCAACTCAAAGTTCAACTAATGAAATCTTTTCCCCTTTGCATTGAGTCTGGATCGATTTCATAATTTCGATTCCAATTGGATTTTATTTGTTTGTGTTCATATTTTATTGCCATTTTGCCGTAGACGCAGCGTCGCTACTGGCAAAATATATTTTTACAAAGTAAATAAAAAACAATAATAAGAAAAATAGAAAACAAAACCAAATGCCTCAAATGCGACGCTTCGGATTCTGATTTTACTAAAGTCGCGTGATAAGCTGATCGGTCGCGTATTTTGCGGATCTACTTTATAAGCGATAATATGATACTCCTATACAGACATACACTACATACGAGTACGTACGAGCACTTACATGCACCTTTATATGTAAAAATATGTAAGTTTTCATTTGTCTATATGGTGTGTTGAATTTTAGAAAACTGATTAACTAATCTACTTCGTAATTAAAACAGAAACAACAATGTAAATATCGCCGGCGTAAAAATGGCGAAGCGCATTGTGAATTAAAATATGAACTTGCTCACTCATATACACTTATGTATGTACATTTATGCATACGTCTGATTTATATGACACATGCGATTAATAAAGCTATTGCCTTCAAAGTAGATGCATTTTACATAATGTATACACATATTTATATTCTACGATGCAAGCAGACGAAGGGTTAAGGCAAGCAGATTCTATTGTTTTAATGCCGGTCGCGCTCTAAATTGATAATTCATAACAACGACAAATAAATACGGAAATAAATGGAGCATAAATTGCGTATGACTATTAAACACACATATAACATATCTTCGCATATATATATATGTATTGTATGTCTATGTATGTTAGTTCTGGGTCTCCCACAGTTCAATATGCGTGAGGTTTTGCACAAGTTTATTGTTTTTTTTTTACTACTTTGATATTGTTTAAAGAGAAATCTGCCATTACAGAAGTTAATTAATATATTCTTGGAAATTTGCATTAAAAAATGCGCTGTTATTCAGTATGTAAGCTGATTTTGTAAAAATGTTATTTTTAATTTTTTCCTTTTTGTTTTTAGCTCGGAACGAATGTCATCTCTGGTTTTACAATTTACTTAGTTAATCGCCTGAATTTCATTGTAATTCAGCTAAATTAAAACAATACTACTTTACTACTTTATCAAATCAATTTTTTAATTTTTAAATATAATATTTTTTTTTACTTATAAATAGTAATATTCACAAGAGCTTTTCGGAGTTTTTTTTGGAGGGGAACGTCTACAATTCCTTGTGTACATAAAAAATTTATTTTATATTATTCAACTTATTTTTCATTCACTATTTTTTACTAAGTACGACACTTTCATTTTTCAGAGATTGTCTAATACGATTAAAGAATATGCGCTGTACACTTCTGCCTATTATGCTCTATTTCTAATCAAATTGTGATTATTATTTATAAAGTGTTTACTGTTATTGTAATTGTCTTTTCGCCGATTACTTTTTGTTGTTGATATAACTTGTCCGATATTTTTATTTTGACTGGCGAAGTACAATACTTCGGGCATATGTGTAAATATACCTACATAATTACATACATACATACATATACATAATGTACAACTATTCAACTACTTGATTGAGTAAGGCAATTTTGTTAGTATCTTTTTTTTTTCTTTTTGTGTAGATTTCGTTGTTATTCTAGTTGTTGTTCACTATTACTACTGACGTCTGCTTACGAATGCGGAAATAGCAAATTAATTTATAGAAGTATGAGCCCCCATGTGCTTATGAGTTCGTTCGTTTGCCAGATACACACGCTCACATTTCTCTCTGTTTATGATTGTTTTCGCGCCAGCAGCGTCAACAATAGCAACAGCAAGGCAAGCTTTTGCATTTCATATTAGAAAACGACTTTGAATTGAATGAGCAATTCACGCATTTTTTTCATAGTTGTAACCCTGCAAAGAAAACTACTAGTCGTGGACTGCGGTGATACTAGTTAAAAATTCTCTACAAACTTACATATCTTTCACAAATTTCTGTGACGTAGTACATCTTCCACTAGTATGGTACAGTTTTTGACTGAAAATTATGAAGCAATTGTGAACCCTAAGACATCGCTTTATTGAAAGTACTAGGACATTTGGCTGAACATGTGGCCTGTAGCTGAATTTTTACATTTGACGGCAGCAAATATGTGCACCTACACCGTTGTAAGAGAAAATTGCATTTTAAGGAAGTTATTTATATTATAATATTTTTGTAGCCGAGGCGTATACGTCATTTTTTCTATCTACTAAATTTCGCATAATTGGAAAAATATAATATAAATTTTTTAATTCTTTCGAATTTCTCTACTTATATACGAAATTCAGCAAAAGTAAAGAAATGAGCACAGATATCACAAGATCCGCGTACGAGTATAAAACTAAAAAACGTCACCGAATTCATGGAAATTTACTACAACTAATCGCTCGTCGTTGCCGCGTATCACTGCTGTAGTGTGTTCAACGCTACTCTCAAGCGCTTGTTTACTACAAATATTATTGTTGTTTATGGTTTTTTGCTGACTTTTGTTTTCTTCTTTTAACGCTGGGGAATTTTTCGCCTAAATTTTCCCATTTGTAAAAAATAAAATTCGACGCAAAATATTAATTTTTTTTTTAATTTTTTTTTTTTTTTTTTTTTTGAATATATACAAAGAAGTTCATCATTTATTCGTAAACAAGCTTCTTGTAGTAAAAATAAAATCACCTCAAATTTTAGTGAAACTCAAATAGCAGCTTGATTTTAAGAAAGAAAAAAAACGGATCGTAATTTATTATTATTACTATTTATTTTTATTCGCATTTTCATCGCGTTCAAAGTCTAAAATGTTATGTTAATGCAAAGCAACCACTGATAATGTGTATAACCTTCGCTTAAACACCCACCTAAAACTGCTTCACTTCACTTTGCACATTGGCAACTCGAGTGAAGGCCAACCACTCTTAGCGTTTACAGATACATACTTACATACATACATACATACATACAATATGTATAACTACTCGCAAAGCACGTTTAGCAATTTGCTATACTTTGATGCATAGAAAAGATCGTAGTCACCACATCTCTTACAATTGAATGTTTTTTTACTTTTGGCTTATATTAATTAAAGCCATTACTGAGCATCTACATACATCTATGCACACATACGTGTATGTATATATATATGTTTGTATGACTTAAGTTCGTAGTTATCAGCTGCGGTGCTCGTTTTCGCTGAATAAATTACAATCACAGGGGAAACGGGGGATGACATTGCACACCATAAGTGAATAAATGAATTCTCAATTCAACATATATACAATTTATATGTACATTTTTACATATGTATATACATACATTTTGTAGGCATTTAAACTCATTAAAAGCTTGTCTAAAAGCTTCTGACGAAATGCAGTTGACTAACTTCCTGTAATGAGGTAAGTTTAAAAACAGGCTGATTCCAAAGCGTCAATAAATCGGTCATTTGTGAATGAAAACCGTCAGCGGCTTGCGAACAATCACTTCTGCTCACAGTTCTGAGACATGTATGTAAAAGTATGTATATAAATACATAGCCATGTACAAATACGAGTACATAAATGACACTATTATGGTAAATGCTTTCTAAATGACAGCTGCCAATAATAACTGCCGCGACAACAATTACCAAGCAGTATTTCAAACCTCGCAAGCAAAAAAAAAAATTAAATTATTTATTATAGAAAAAACGATATTATGTAAAAAGCGAGCTTTTGTATTATGCTGCACCCATTTGCGAAACCGAAAACAGCAGTGGCTTGACAAAAGTTTAAAA